AATTAATTAACAAATTAGACCAAACACTAAAAGCCTACACTTAATTATAGAACATATTTTTAACATGCCGACGTTAAAACTATTGATTAATCATGTGTATTAATTTTTAAACCTAAATTCTAACATGTATGTACACACACACACACATATATATAGATTTCAAGACTCCCATACTATCACCAAAATTTTGAATAAAATATTGATATCAAATTAAATGAACATAGGTTTTTCTTATATTACTTAAAGCCTTCGTGATTTATCAAATTAAATGAACATAAAAAGATGTCAAAGAACTTCAAAGATTGGTGCATCTGTCAAACTTAAACAATTTCTCCAACTCTAAAGTTTAGTTACATTAACAAAACGAACATAAGAACGTGAGCAAGTACGAAAACAAAAAGTACAAGTGCAGAGCTTCACCTTATAAGTGCTGGGGCATCTCATGCTGATCAGTAGCCTTTGTTCAGTAGAAACTATGTCATCATAGAACAATATTAATAAATTTTTTTCATTGATAATTGTTATAAATTCATGGAGTGGTTCAGTATAAAATTTTATTTATTTCTTTAGCACAAAACATAATTAAAATAGAAGCAAAGACATTTCTTTATTTCCTTTTCAAGGAAAAAGTTATTACAACAGTAACTCCTTATTTTTTGAGACACCACACGTGCTATTTTAGCAACACGTATTTATTTACCACTATAGAAAGTGGAGTACTTCTTTAAGTTATGTAGTACTTTATGACTCAACATAACAACTGACAATCATGTTCAATCTTATTTGACTAAACACCCAGAATACCCTTAATAAGGGCGTTGGCCAATAAAATTACCGGGAGGATCATAGTTGCAAGATATAAACCACCACCCATTGTTGCACCGGGCTCTAGCGCATCCAAGGCGTACTGAGTTACGCCACACTACCTGTGTGTAATGCCCGCACTCTCCTCCCACGCATGAATTCGACTTATAGACATAATTGCGCTTCTCTGCCACCCATAAATCCACGGCTGCCTTGCCGGTAAAATCTCCACTGCCCTTTGCAAGGTTCTCTCCATAGGGTCCGCTAGAGTGGACGAGGTTGCAGTCACCAATCCTCTGATTGACATAGTTTCGAGCAAAGGCTGCTACTTTATCATCCCATACCATGGGTCCAACACCCACTTGGGCACGTGCAGCATTGTGGGCGTCTAGATAGTCTTTTTGGGAGTTTTGAGCTTGAGATGAATATATTGACATTGTTACCACGGTGAATAAAAGGAGAAAGTGTAGACACTTGGCCATTTTTGCTTTGCTTCAAGAAGTTATCACACCAAGTGATGCAAAATGTAGAAAAACATGTGGGGTTATATATAGCCAATGAAGCATGGAATTATTTGCTTATTGAACAAAAATTAATCCAACTTGAGAAACAAAAGCACACATTTAAAAAATTAAAAACTAGAATAGTCTTTGTTGGACATTTACATGAGTAGCATATTTTTCCAAGTAAACGCCAATAATGATTTAACAACAAGGCCAAACAAACCGCACCCTAAGTATTAGGAAATATATTTCGTAATTTCTCCATTTAATTTAAGAGGGCAAAAGTAACATATCAGGATTCATTATCTGAGAAAGAAAATGCAAATCTCTGGTTGATCGTTTGCTAGGCTTGAATTCCCTCGAACGAGTCTATTTTCTTTTGTTCTTTACATCTTTGAACTATAAATAAAAGTGTGTTTGTAACATGACTATTTCATAGTATTTGAACATAAAAATTGAAAGTCAAGTAATTTAATTATCGCAAAGCAAAGCGAGAGAATTGTCTAAAGCGCTAACTTTAATTAGAGTAACAAGAACATTAAGAGGATATCTCCCAACGGTAGATCAATTACGTAATTTTTGGCTACTAATCTAACAAAAAGGGCATGTGGAGCTTATGCTTCTAATTCAATTAGACTTAGCAGCCTTAGAATTATGCTTAATAATATTCCTTTTTTATCTTTTCTGGCACAAGTTTTGGCAA